CTTTGCTTTAAATGTTTATCTGTTCCAAATACCTGTTATAACTCCCTCTGATTAAGAATAATCAGTAGCAGCCCTTAAAAAGACACCTCAGTCCTGTTTTCCAGGTTTCCACTGTGCTGGAGGCTGTAATGAGCCTAAACCTGAGTCCTTCTCCTCTTGCAGGTGCGTTGAAGATGTCTGAAGGAGAAAAGCGTACGCTCAAGAGGGAGAGAGAGCTGATAGAAGCTCTGAGGAGAACGCAGAAGGAGGAGGCTCGGACTCTGGAGCATCAGAGGGAGCTGCTGGAGAAGCTGCGTGCAGCTAGTGCCAGAGAGGCGGCAGCAGAGAGGGAGCAAATTGAGTCTCTGAGGAAAGCACAGCAGGAAGAAGCCAACGACTTAAGTAGACAGCAAGAGGAGCTGCAGAAGGAAAAGGAAGAACTACAGAAGAAATGGGAAGAGCTCCAGCAGGAAAGAGAAGAGCTCCTGCTGTTTTCCAGAGAGCAGCAAGTCTCTTGATTTTAACTTTGATGAATGCAGCCAGCATTGCTTAAAACACAAAATGCTCTGAATTTGTTTTAGTAAAATATGAAAATTTGAAAACAATAGGTGTGCAGTGGTTTGTTTGGTTTTTTTTGTTACGGCTTCATCCTGGTATTTAATCCAGAACCCCATCTCACCTTGCAAAGCCACAAAAACAACTTTCAGTTAACTTTTCCCTTTAAAGATACCAAGAATATCATATAGATCAGATATAAAAATATGTTTTTAATACCATAGTAGGTGGGGATGATCTGCCAATGGCTTTCCAGGACAATATACAATAATGGTGGTGACGTGTGCTGGTCTATGCATTACATTTAACCCTCTACCATAAACTATTATCAAGTTAATACAGAAATTTTCTTTTTTTCATTAAGCAAACTTGAGAGCCACAAAACTGCTTTTGTTCATTCACATTTTTAGCAAATAGTTAGATGTTATTAAAAATGTATACTTGGTTAAATAAATCTTGGTTTATGCTTGTACATCATCTCATATGCGTCTGTAAACATTTATACACCTATTTCCTTCCATAGTTTTAGCCCCATACGGTCTCTCCGTTCACTGAGAAGTGTTGCAGCAGCGCCCGCTAGGGGACCAGTTTCGGTGCTGTGGGTTTGTGAGCATGCGTGGTGGTACGTGAAAAGTTTCTCCCCGAGTAACAGTTGTCAGGCACTTGTGTAAAAATGCTGACCTATCCTCACCACTAACAGACTTTAATATGTAATAAAATGTATATATTTATATTATTCTTGGTTAAATATAACGTTGTCGACACGGTTATGATTTTAAGACGAGTTCGTCTTCTCTAAAGACCCGATAATAATGCGCCGAAACGCTGCCTGGCAGACTAATCACGGGGAATAGTAACAAAAGGATGACGTTGGCTTCTGTGTCCTGTTCCGGTGGCGGAAGATGGCTGACGGTGGACCCATAACAGCGAGAAGATGCGACTCCAGCTCTCTGTCCTCTGTGAGTATGGACACCATCTCTGCCCTGACGGAGCTGGAGGACCTGGAGAAAATTTACCAGCAGCTCTGCGAGGAGGAGGTTCGTACCAATGGCCGCTGACGGTGGTTTGTTTGCGGCACACAGGTGCTGTCGTCATCCACGTAAACTTAACAGGCGCTCCTCCTCAAACCGCTGCTGAGAAGGATGTCTGCTTTAATAGATATTCACAAAAACAGCAAGCTTTAATAATAGTTGACTGTCATCAGTAGGAATGCAGTCATGCACCGTGTCACTTCATATTTATTGTTTTTCCTGTTGAATCACCGTGGATCGCCTTCTTCCTGCTATCAGTTGTTTCCCAGTATTTGTTGTCGCTTCGTTTTCTCATTAAGTTTTACTGTGTTTATATTCAACAAGCTCCTACTTACATAAATAACCCCTTTACCGCCTTTTAGAGGTGGGCAGATCGATCCAAATATCTAGTATCGATTCCAACACTAATATTGATATTGGATCGATACTTGCTACACCAGCATATTTCCTGCGTTCTTCGCACCCATCAGATAAAAACCAGACTTTCGAGAAACACATGTCCTTAAGTCAAATACAGCCAATCAGCAATGTAAATATGGAAGATGGGAAATGATAACATGAAAACACTCTACAGTGTTTGTCTCATCAGTCATGGTATATGATGACAGAGATGGACCAATTTACCCTTAAGTAGACCTAAATATACAGTGTATTGTCTGAATGTTGCGGGAGAAACTGAGACTCATCAGACGAGGCAGCGTTGTTCCAGTGTTCTGTGTTCCAGTTTTGGTGATACTGACAGGACTGCTGTTGTAGGTTCTTCTTCAAGTGATTATTTCAGTTACTGTTGCCTTCCCATCAGCTTAAAGCCCATTCTCCTTTGACCTCTGGAATCGGCAAGGTATTTTCTCCCAGAGATCTGCTGCTCACTGGATATTTCCTGTCCTTCAAACCAATCTCTGTAAACTTTAGAGATGGTTATGTGGAAAAATCTCAGTACATCTGTACTTTCTGTAATACTCATACCTGTCTGACACCAACAACCATCCCATGCTGAAAATAACTTAATTCACCTTTTGTCCCCATTCTGATAGTCATTTGAACTTAATTAGGTTGTCTTAGTTACATCTACATGACTAGATGAACTGATTAAATATATATTAAATATTTGGATAAATGAGCAGTTGTACCTAATGAAGTGTGGATAAAGTAATGTGAGTTGTGGGAACTCTATAAAGAAAAAAATGGTGTTTGTTTTGTGTTTATTGCAGAAGGAGGTGGAAACAGAGCTGGACAGACTGGTAGGGCAGGAGGGGGCCATTCACACCAAAATGCTGGCACTACACAGGATGGGGTACACACAAAATCAGCTGCTGGTCTAAAGTATTTAAATGCTAATCTGTAATGTGTTGTACTGAGAAAAAAAATGCTTTCTCTCTTTGCTCTGCAGACCCAACCTCCAGCTGATTGGAGGAGATGCCAGCCAGCTGTCGGGCATGATCACTTTTACCTGCAGCCTGGCTGAAAACGTCAGCCGTAAAGTACGACAACTAGACCTGGCAAAGGTGAGCATGCATACATTTTAAAGCACCTCCATCAGACCCGCTCAAAATCAGCAGTTTTTTGTTTTGCTTTTTTTTTTTTTTTTTGCTTTTTGGCACTATAACTTGCGAATTTAAAACCAGCAAATTTGTGCCTTTGAAGTACGTAAAACATAGTATTTTCTTTACCGTACTTCTTACAGGTTTTGGAGACCTTGTAACTTTATAAGGACAGGAGATGGCTTCATGAAATTTACAACCATCTTTGAACGTCAGTAAAAGATGTTAGCATGTGAAAGGTCTCCTTTTAGGCCATCATTTTGATACCAGGTTCATTTTCTAGGCGTGACTCCTTCTGGGTCAAAACAGCTTTGATTTCTGAACATGTATCTCATTTGATTTCCCTCAGACGCGGCTATATAACGTCATCCAGCGTGCCGATGATATCCTCGACCTGAAATTCTGCACAGACGGGGTGCAGACAGCTCTGCGTAATGAAGATTACGAACAGGCTGCTGCTCACATCCATCGATACCTGTCTCTGGACCAGTCCGTTATCGAGCTGAGCAGGCAGGGAGAAGAAAGTATGGAGCCTCTTGTTCTACATCAGCGTGCGATCTTAAACTGCAGGCTTAGGGTTAATTAAGCAAATGGAAAATGCAGTTACAGTTGATTTAAAAAATAAAGCTCCATATAGCAGTTAAAGTCATTACATTAAGGTTTGAGTAAGTGCCACAAAGATACACTAACACTACCATTTCATCACGTCTCGTCTGCACAGGCAGCGCTGTGGACGCCAGTCTGGTCCTACTGCAGGAAGCAGAGCAGAAACTAAAGGTCATTGTTGCAGAGAAGCTTGATGAAGCCGTAGCAGCAGTCGACCTGGCACAGGTGGAAAGGTTTTTCAAGATCTTCCCTCTTCTTGGCCTCCACCAGCAAGGCCTCGCTCGATTTGGCCAGTATCTCTGCAGTCAGGTCAGTAATGAAAACAAGTCCTTTATATTTGCTCCTTTAACTTAAAGAAAGCTGAATCTCATTAATCACAAACCACTTAAACATAAAGAGAGATCCGTGCATGCTGGCTGGTTCCGTGTGTGTGGATGAAAATTAGGGGGTGATGTGGATCCAGATTTGGCTTAATGGGGACATTACAATTAAGCGGTGATAGCACATTGGTAGTCCATGAGAGAGTGTCCAAAGTATGTGGAACAGCTGGTCAATGGGCCACTCTTCATCTGTCAGCCAGCCAAGAAGAGAAGTTGTAACGTTCAGAGCTGAAGTGAAACCGAGAGTTAAAAACAGAGAAAAGTGTCACTGCAGCCGCTGTTTGTGCTTTTCATGCTGTATTTTTTAATCTTTGGTGTTTGTTTCTCGCTGTTCTCGTTCCCGATGATTTTCACTGCTGCTCCCTTCAGTGTTCCAGCCCGCTTTCCAACCAGTGGTTGAAAACGCCTGTCTGCAAGGCTCTCCATAAGCAAACAGACAGCAGTAGCACAAAATTAAGCATAACTCATCATAGGTGGTGACCCTAACTGTGGTCTTATGCTATTATGTGTTATTTATGCATCATAAATTTCTTTTCTATTTTTCCTAAAATGTTTTGCTTTTCTTCAAAGGATAGGTTTGGGGTTGAGTTCTTCACCAATGATCAGTTAAAGGTTGTCTGGTTTACTGATGAAGGTCACCTGCCAGCAAACCAGAATGGGTTCACTGGTGGGGATTTTACTTTGTTGTGAACACAGACAGCTGCAGAGACTACAGACGTACAGTCATTGTAATGTAACACATGTGTAATTGGTGTTGTTGTAGTGTAGTCCACATGGATGCGGTTATTAAAAAAAAAAACACAGATCACCATCAGGTGACGATATTTACATCACTGACCTACTAGTCAGGGGCCTGTGAGCCACTTCTTCTAGGTGTGGCTTTTACCCCCCAGCCATAAAAGGCAGAGCGGGCGAGCAGTGTGGACACCTAAGATTGTGAGTGTGATAACTTGGGAACATGCCGATGTTTTGAAATTGATACCACAGACTCTGTAACCTCGACGTCAAAGTGAAGGTTAGCGGTCAGGTTTTCAGAAGAGCTTGTGAATGCGTTAACTCGTGAAGAAACTCGCCTATGATTTTAAAATCGATACCAAAGATGTGTCTACTTAGAAGGCTGAGGGATAGGAGTGGCATCACCGGTATGTTTTTGTTTTTCTTTTAATGCTTTCTTTTCTTAGTTTTTCCTTGATTTGTTGCTACTGCTTGTACACCTGAAGCACAAGTGGTCACACATTGATTCTAAATGTGAGGATGCTTATCTGTTTATTAGGTTTTTGTACATAAAGATTCATATTTTTAACATAGCAGCTTAGTTTGAGTGACATGAGGGCAGTTGTGGCTGTAATAGTGGCCTTATTCGAGGTGCATATTTTCTTTTTGTCTCCTATTTATGTATTTCATCACACTTGTAATTTCAGTTTATCCTGATTTGAGTCATGTATTTTAGTCTGCTACAATATGTCATTTGGATTCACACACTCTCACACAGCTTGCCTCCAAAGCTGAGGAGAACCTGCTGCTAGCGACTGGAGCAGATCTGGGTGAGAAGAGAGCTCTGCTGATATTTGCAGACACGCTAACGCTGCTGCTGGAAGGTGAGAAAACACAGACTGTGCGTGTCTGCCTGAATTCCCCTTTGCATGCTCTCTCCACCCGTGTGCTGGTTTGCGTTCACAGGTATCGCTCGCATTGTGGAGACCCATCAGCCAATAGTAGAGACGTACTACGGTCCAGGCCATTTGTACACGCTCATCACTCACCTGCAGCAGGAATGTGATCGCCAGGCCCAGAAAATAGTTGACAGGTTCATCCAGCAGAGAGGATACCACACCAAGGTGCGTGTGAGACGCCGGCGCTGCATCACATGGTTGCCTTCACTGCGTCCCTGACCCGGCTGTGACCTTGAATCTGCTCTTTAGTTTCAGGTCGTCCAAAGCAGCATGATGAAGAGTGTTCCAGGGGAGAGGATCGAGCCAAGGTGCGTGTGTTTGCCTGAGCGGGATGCTGCATTTCCTACATGTTTGAGGGTTTATATTTTCGTTTATACCTCCTCCTTCCACAAACAGGGAGCTGGATCCCGTCCTGGCAGAAGTCACTCTGATGAACGCGAGGGCGGAGCTCTACTTGCGCTTTCTACGTCGCCGCGTGATGGCCGACTTTGAAGTTGGGGACGCTCAGAGCATCACGCAGGGTAGCTTCATGTGTGATTTTCTTTTTTCTTCTTTAAATTGAAATGTGATTGTAAAGAAGTGTGCAGTTGAAAATGTGTGTTTTCCCCTCCGTGTTTAAACACACAGAGCATCAGCAGAACGTGGAGAAGCTGCTGAAACACTGCCTACTGAGCACAACGATGCAGGAGCTGATTGGTTATTACATTCCCATGGAAGAGTACTACATGAGAGAGTCTGTCAACAAGGTCAGCTGAGTGCAGTGTTATTTCTGTACTTCAAAGACTCAGTTCACTCATCGAAGACTGTTTATGTGTCCGCTGCACTGACACAAACGTGAAAAGGTTGTGTAACATTTCTGTGGATGTGCAGGGAGCTGTACATGTCGAGTCTGAGGTTAAAAAAAAAAAGAGCTTAAATTCTGCAGGTCACCCTCATCTCTGCTTCAGGCTACATTAGCTGCTGATAGTATAATGCACTCAGATGACAGACCAAACTGTGGTGGTCATGTTGCATCATGGGTAATGTACACATCTGTTTTAGAAAGGGAAAGAGAATATGAGGGATAAAAAAGGCAGCTGGCTGGTTTTACGTGCAAATTTATCAGCATTTTCTTACTTGAATTTATCTGTGATTTCACTGCAAACATTAAAAATTGCTTAGATTACCTCAGAGCAGATGATTCCCAAAGTGTGGCCTGCAGCCCCCTGGTGGGTTGTGAAGGTATTGCCAAAGGTTAATTGGCAATAAATACAGAGTGTGTCAAAAAGATTTATCCAATTTCAAAAGGTTGTATTTTTTTAAAGCAGTAAAGCAGTGGACATTTGAAATTCAAACATTTTATTTTAAAATTTAACACCATCTGCTTCTTGGGGTTTGTGTTTTTGTTGGGGGTTTTAAAGCTATCGTCACTCCTGAGCAAATGCTTTGCTTCTCTCTTGAAAAAGGTTTACAGCTTTCCCTAGTGGAACAGTTCAGAGCATACATATTTCCTTCATCAGGGTTTCTTAACCTTTTCCCTGCACTTTACAATGCCCAAAAACTTCACACATCAGCTGTTTCTCATTTATGATTAGTGATGAAAAAAAGGCTCGGCGGTGCTCATGTAATACAAAAAGACAGGTCAGCCGGATAGATCAGCAATTTCCTGTTTGTTAACTTTTCCTGAAACAGTTATGTGCATTAATTTAACGTAGTTTTACTCCACATTTATCCCCTGGTTGTCCACCCTGGCCGTGCAGAAGCTCTGTGCCTTACATAGAAAAATGAGGACATTTCAGCATATGCTAATTATAAATAGACAGACTGATTCTCATTCAGTCGTGTCCTGAATGTGACAGTAACTTTACATGTGTTTGACTCGCAGGTCTGGCAATGAAATGGCTATAGTGACATTTTTAAAAACCAAATGTAATATTTGTAGACAAGATCTGAATATACTCCAAACATGCATCCAAAAAGGTAACTCTTTAACACCCGAGTATCAAACAGGATGCCTGACTTATAAATCAAATATTTCTCATGTTTCTGAAACAGTTTAAAGTTTCTCTCTAGCCCAAACTTGTAGAAGAGCAACGGTAACGACAGCAGTACCTTGTGAATGCTTGTGCTACTGTATAATAAAGTCAAGTTGCTCATGTCAAGCTCATTTTACATCGGAGGCAACATACACTTCAATCTTAGATGGGGACGGACAAGTAAAAATACCCTTTCTGTCACTATAAAAATGTGTTAACTACACATTAAATCCCTAAGATATCTAAGATATCTCAATATGAATACAAAAATATAACAAATATAATATTAGAAAAAATGCCATTTCATCTTTAGATCTAATTTTTCTACTTTTTAAAAAAGAAAAAATGCGTTTGAGTAAATGAAAGAAATCTGTCAGCACCACTCTTTGGGTTTACATTTATAAGAAAATTCTGGTAGCTCATCGCCCAGACTGTCCTGTAATTATAAAGTTTTTGTTAATTCCCTGAAAACCTCCTGCTTTTATTACTTATGCACACATTGTGCATAAATCTGTGCACACATTAGAAACAAAAACCGTTTGCATATTATACAGTGAAAAAAAGAGTAACTTTCTGTCATTTTATTGTTTGTGTGTTACCTTATTACTGTAGTATAAAGTAACTTTACGTTTTTCAAAGCCCCTGATTTATTCCTTACCATGTTATTAACTCCCCTGCTCCCCCAGGCTGTTGCTATGGACACATACGAAAAGGGACAGCTGACCAGCAGCATGGTGGACGACTGTTTCTACATTGTGAAAAAGTGCATCAGCAGAGCTTTATCGAGTTCCAGCATCGACTGCCTCTGTGCGATGATCAACCACGCCAACTCCGTGCTGGAGTCTGACTTCAGGTCGCTCGCTCATTTTCTACCTCTTTAAAATCCTGGTTTTGTTTGGTTTTACACATTTATTACATTGACATGTGCCCCTTTCCTGCCTCAATGCCTCTTCTCACCCGTCAGGGAGGTGTTGTATAACAAGCTGCGGCAGGGCTTCCCAGCTACAACACTGCAGGACATCCAGCGTGGTGTCAGCAGCGCGGTCAGTCTAATGCAGAGCAGCTTACAGCAGGGCAAGTTCAACACGCTTGGCATCGAGAGCACCGAAGACGCCAAGGCTGCGTTCCTGGTGAGATGGCTCGACACAGAAATACTTGCCTCACTCGTAGAGCAGTTCCTTATAAATCTTTGTCAGACTGTAAGATAAATGAATCACTCACATCTGCTGTATAAGCCCTTTAAAAAAGAGCTCAGCAGTAATTTAAAGGAGGAATCGAATGAATGAGCTAAGTGAGTAGCTCTTTAATTTTTAAAATGGCTCTTTGTTAAAACAAGAGCGACTTCAAAACCCTTTTTAATATCATTATAAATTGAAATTAAGAAACACTTAAAGGCTTATAACTACCAGCTGAGGCAGGAGATGTCAAAATACCTCATCTCCAGCAGATTATAGTTTTAAAGCAGGACTGAGTCACGCTGGCTGTAAGAATCATTCGCCCTCGTCCCCCACTCAGGTGACCCTGAATAACGTCGAGGTGTGCAGTGAGAACATCACAACTTTAAAGAGGAACCTGGAGGTGGGTTTGTGCCACAGCTCTTCCTTTCTCCTGTTCATCGTGTTATTTTTATTTTTCTCCCCAGAAATAAAAAAAATGTAAATTTTCTTTCCGGTCAGAACGACTGCTCCAAGTTGTTCAGTCAGGGGGTCGGCTCTGGAGAGCAAGCCAAGATTGAGAGCTGTTTGTCCGACCTTGTCAGCACGTCCACAAAGTTCAAAGATCTATTACAGGTTGGACGTGCACGCAGACACACACACACACCACATGCTTGTCTGCACAGACTTGTATATTTTCTTAATTGGAGTGGGAGCCTCAGGATGGAGAACTGTTGTTAGACCAGAGAGCGCCGTGGAGGGAGAGCTCTTATTTATTTAACAAGTCACAGGAGATCTAGAAGCGCAGCTTTAATGAGATCTTTTAATAAAGCCCTGTTTTCGAGGAGGTGCGTGTCGTTGTTGTGTAACCCCGGGGATACTCCGGGCGTGGCTGCCTGACATCCGGCTCCAATGAAGCAGATCGCACCTGCTCCACACGGTGCTTATGATTCCAGAAAATGCATCCCAGAAACAAGTTTTTGCTTCATGTTGGCACTGGAGAAGCCAAAGACTGGAACAGCGTAGAGCACCCAGTCAGTTACTAAAATAACAGACCTCATGCTCCCGGGGTATCCCAGTATCCCGTGAAAACATGACAAACCCACAACCCGTGTGCTTCCAGAATAAAGAGAAATGGAAAGAACTAAGAATTTATTTATTTATTTTTTAAGGTCAGGTATTTGTCTTTGGTTTTCTTTCACAGGAGGGTCTGACGGAGCTAAACACAACAGCCATAAAGCCTCAGGTCAAACCCTGGATCAGCAGCTTCCTGTCCATCTCACATAACATAGAGGAGGTAACGCTTTCACCTTTCTGCACACGAATAAATCAGAGGTTACAGAACGTCTTGCTGCAACTGTCTGCATCCCTCACAGGAGGAGTTTAATGACTATGAAGCTAATGACCCCTGGGTGCAGCAGCTCATCGTCAACTTGGAGCAGCTGATGACAGAGTTTAAGGTGTCTTTTAAGATTTGACTTTGTGTTTACCGGCTAAAGATACTCTTCCTCACTGTTTAGTAAACTTCTCTTCTCGTCTTCCAATCTGAACTCCCCGCCAGATGGCCCTCTCCCCGGTCATCTACGACACGCTGACCAGCCTGATGACCAGTCTGATAGCTATTGAAATGGAGAAGACGGTCCTCAAATGCTCGTTCAGCAGGGTGAGGCGCTTAGCTTGGCCACTGGGTGGCAGCGAGCTGCTTGTGCGTCACGTCACTGACACTCCCTTGAAGAAAGGCCTCCAATAATTTATTAATGAGTTCAGAAAGGCCTGTAGCAGAGGGTGCTTCCTTCTGGCACGGCAGCTTCTTCCTATTTTTGTGCAGCATGTTTTTACATAACCTCTAAATAAATTATGACACAATGTAGAACATATAGTCCTAAAAAAGAAAGTTGCCGTGTACGTGAAACGCACCCACAGACATTATTTTTGACTTTTCTGTTGTAGCTCGGGGGGCTCCAGTTCGATAAAGAGCTCCGGTCTCTCGTGGCGTACCTCACAACCGTGACAACGTGGACCATCAGAGACAAGTTCGCTCGCCTCACACAGATGGCCACCATTCTCAACCTTGAGCGGGTAATTTAGACTGTTTTAGAAACACACACACCATTTATGGGGGCTTAGCACCAGTGATGGATTGTAACTAGCAATGTTTTTGCTATTGGGAAATATCTATGTGACAGCTTTAGCTGCTATCCATCCATTCTCTTCCGCTTATCCAATTTAGGGTCGCAGGGGGGCTAAAGCCTATCCCAGCTGTCATAGGGTGAGAGGCGGGGGACACCTTTAGCAGGACACCTTTAGCTACGAGTTGCTTTCATTAACCTGGCTTTAGCCTACCTGATACAGCAATGAAATGTGGCCTGCTGGCTTAAATGCAGGAGTTTTTTCCCCTGTATAAGTCAATTTTTGATATTTCTTTCCCCATAGAAGTCCCCAGTCAGTATCACGTTGTCAACTGGGATTTCTTTTATTCTTTTTGTCTCATAGCATGTTTAGAAGAAAAATGGGCTCATGTGGCTTCCACAGAGTGTGGACCACTCATGCTCTCTGTCATACTGTTGTAAACTGGAAAAAACACCCCAAAAGTACCAAAAATAACCAACTAAAGTTACTATTACTTTACGGATTTCTTCTGCAGGTAACTGAGATCTTGGATTACTGGGGCACTAATTCAGGTCCCCTGACGTGGCGACTGACGCCGGCAGAGGTGCGTCAGGTCCTGGCGCTCCGCATCGACTTCCGAAGCGAGGACATCAAGAGGCTGCGGCTGTAACCCTCTGGTGTGCGGGTGCCTTCGATTGCTGTGAGACTTTTCACTGCAGAACTCTGTTTGCATTTCTGTGGAGTACGGACAAGCTGAGGATTTCTTTTTATCTGAATTAGTTGGGGGGTTCAGACCTTCTGCTCTTCACCCCTGACTGATGACAGTCTATATCATTATAGCCGGGCTTTTATGGGGCAGGGATTTTGACGAATTTGATAGGAATTAACTGTAAAATATGAGAACGTTCTGTTAAATGTTTAATTAAAAGCGTGACTGTGTAATTATATCTCAGTGGGAGTTTAACCTGTAACTGGCTCTGAGAAACGAGGACACACTGGGACTGAGGAGCGGCGCTCTGCGGCTCTCGGTGAAACAGAGCAGTAATGAACATCGTACCCATTAAACTGACAGAAGCAGGTCAGACAGCTGATCCAGCCTAGTCATTCAATATATGAATAGCTCCTTGTCTGCAGCGATGGAACACTTTTAACCTAATAAATCGAGAGCTGCTGTGCGACGCCTCTGATCCCCCGCCATCCGCCACATTTCACCGAGTGCTGCTCCGCTGCTGCGCAGGACCTGCTCCCAATCTTTTATACATATTTCTGACACTAAATACAAAGCTGTGCTCACCAGTCGATGAAGCATTAAAAGTGGTCCACTCTCATAATGTTCAGCCTAATTTCCCGGTCTAACCTTAGTTCTCGGCACAGGTTAAAGCAGGTCAGCGTTTGTTTAAAGTTTTGTTTTTTCCTGAGCAGCGTTGCAACCGTGACGGTCTCGTTTTTTGTTTTCCTTTCAGTCCTGTGTAATCAGACTCAGACAAACACAGGGATAGTTAGGAAAAGTGTGGCTTTAATGTAAACACAACATTCGATTGGCTCAGCACAAACATTCCACATGAGAGCAACCAATAAACTACTGAATAGGATGAGGGGTGCAGCACAAAAACATTCACAGTAAAAAAAAAAGAAAAAAAAAATCTGGTATAATCATAATATATATATACAGTACGGTGCTTTTTTTAAGGTGAAAATGGAGATATGAGGGTTGATATGTGATGACTAGAGAGTATACGGGGGTGGGAAGATGAATTTCTGGGTGCATGGGTGAAAATGGAGAGCTGTTTTTTTTTTTTGTTTGTTTGTTTTTGTTTTTTTCCTTCTCTGTGAAAAGAGAAACATGACAGAAGAAAGAGGAGAGAAGGAGAGGGGAGTGGTGGGATAATGGTTCCCTCCTCACTGATCAGGGGAGGGGAGGTGAGGAGGAGGAGGGAGTGGGGGAAGAAAAACTTGACTCCCCAGATAGAGGCTGCCTCAAATGAAATTGTTCTCCTCGTGCAGTCTTCTATTTCTACACAGATTCACATCGAAGGGTCACGCACCACACGGAGAACAAGATGTCATCGGAGGGCTGATTTCTACCCTCTGAACCGAAGGCGGGAATCGGTGCACCCCAGTTATTTTGTGACAGGAAATAAATAAGGTGGCATGGGATTTCAGGAGGTAGGAGGAGGCATGTAGGGCGTGAGGCTTAAATAAATAAATCATTCACTGATAATAAAATGTTATATCTGTTGGTTAAATAATAGAGTCGATATAATGAGCTATGATTTCTGATCCTATTCCCCTAACTGTCGTTCTCAGATGGTTGGCACCGATATTTTTTCAAGAGATATCATTGGCTGTTAGGTATTTCCTCAGGCTACAGGAGGCCAGTGCTGATGGGCAGCCACTCTGAACAGAGGGATCCTCTCTTCTAATCGTGATTAAAGTAAAAGAGAAAACCGAGAGTGGAACAGACCTGGGGGGCTACTCCGTCATGTGCGCGTCTGAAGGAAAGTTTAAATAAGCCTCCTTCTTTTCCATCCACAGCCCTCAGCCACAAGTACAGCACCTCCCTGACATCCCCATCGTCATCTCCACACACAACAGCAGCTCTTCAAACGGCGCACCAGAGGCTGTATTCAGTAAAGAGGTGTGCCTTGAGACTTGCACTTAAAAACAAAAATGCCCACAAATTCTGGGGACAATATTCCACGTTGTGCTTAACCCAAAAAAAAAAAAAAAAAGCACGCTCCTCGCATTACGTTTCAAGCTCCGGCTGAATAAACCCCTGGTGCCGCCGCTTCTGACCCTCCCGGTTGTTGACACGGTCATAGACGAAACAGCAAACATTCAGCTCAAAAACACATTTTGAAAAAAAAAAAAAGAGACAAAAACAGGTTTTTTTTTATACTGAAATCAAAATAAGAGGAAGAGGAACAAATCATGGCAATAATCCAGTGTGGTGTCTGACGGCAGCTCTTTGGGTCCGTTTGGACGTGTAGAATTACATATTTATGTGTTTAAGTATCATCAAAATTATCATTATTAACACCTCATACACTCCATGACAACCTCTGTGCTTGGCCAGGCCTCAGTATAAGCCACACCCTCTAAGGTTGTTTGCAATAATGATGTCGGTGACGGCATCAAACACTACCTGGATGTTTCCCGTGTCTGTGGCACAGGTCAGGTGACAGTAGATCTCCTTGTTTGGAGAGCGGTTCTTACTCTCAAACTGAACCTGAATATATGCAGTAGCGTCTTCGTAAGTGTTAGCACCTGGAGAGAAAACAGCAGAGGGCGATTAAAGCGCGTCGCTTTGCTCAGGAAGCCGCTCCGACTGAGGGCGCGGGACTCACCTGTGTATTCTGGAAAACAGATCGTCAGCGGGGACTTCTTTATCTTCTCAGCAAACAGATCCTTCTTGTTGAGGAAGAGGATGATGGAGGTGTCGATGAAGAACTTGTTGTTGCAGATGGAATCGAAGAGCATGAGTGATTCGTGCATGCGGTTCTGCGGAAAGAACAAGTAAAACAATGAGGGGAGTCTAATAAAACACAGGCCCAAAGGACACAGGCCCGGTCTGAGCCCAGAAAAACCCTGATAAACTAAATCGCAGTCCCAGCTTTAATGATTGTTTAATTGCTTCTGTTATAAAACAGAACAAACACACATTTTACAGGATTATTATTATTCCTGTTAACTCAGCCGAGGCACTTGGCAAATATGCATGTGTGGGGGTTTTCCGTCACAGAGGCCTTTTAGAGCGGTTTTAGCCAAACACAAAGAGAAATCACCAGCCTTGTCACATTTTTTAACCACTTTTGCTCATCTTAGTCTGATTTTTTCTTTTTTTGCACTTGAAACGGTTGGAAGTCACAGGGAAAGGCATAGAGTTCTGTCAAGTATGGTAACAAAAGTATTAAGCCAGGGGGAAAAAAAACTGTGTGTCAAATTTATATTGAAGAAGAAACGATAAATAAATGAATAAGAAGTGTTTTTTTCTTAAAATTTAAAGTCTGAGAATGGAATGAGGTGGTGTGTGGACTGTACATCCTACCTCTGAGACAAATTGAGATTGCATAAATACATATTTTTATACAAACACGTGGCAAAAAAAACTTGCCATGAAATCTTCAAGTTAATTGGACGACTTCTAAGTTTTATTGGATTAGCGTCAGTGGAGGGATTCAGGCACACTTACAGTTGTTTCATCTTCATGGAGCACCTGGTCGTACCCACTCAGAGCGACGCAAAAGATGATGGCCGTCACATCTTCGAAGCAGTGGATCCATTTCTTCCTCTCTGACCTCTGACCTCCCACGTCAAAAAGCCTGGAAAAGGGCGGGGGGTGTCAATACAGAGCGGGAGCAGAAAATCTTTGAACTTCGAGCAGGAGCGGCTTCCTACCTGAAGTGGAGGTTTTTGAAGGTGAAGTGGGTTTCGACGATACCAGTGGTCTTCACACGGGTTCTCAGGATGTCCTGCTCTGTGGGCTGGTAGTCTGCCGCACCAATTCGGTCTAAACTGTCCAGATAGCTGATGAAGGAAGACAGGAAAAGCAGTGGATAAAAATGGTGGATTTTTTGTTTGTTTTTTTTTCCTTTTGTAGTCTTTTTGCTCGACTCACTATTTAGCCGAATCATTAAGCTGGTATTCTCGAGCACGGTTGAAGCACTCCTGAGTCCCGGCGTCAGCCCATAAACGCTTCATAGCGCTGAGGAGCTCTGCAGAGTACGGCTCTGTGTCCTCCATACGACTGACCACATCACAAACCAGCTTAGCATCGGCCTGCACGAGCACATTTCATTAGATCAGGGAAGAGCAACTAAATTATATCAGTATATTTATTATTCATCATCTGTCAAAGCTGTATATATGGGGCTTTTTAAATATGATAAATCAAAATGCACATCTGTTCCTCTAAATGGATGCTACAAAGAAGTTGAAAAGTACACTAGATAAAACTGCTGCATCCAGTCCTTAAATCAAAACCCAAAGATGCTGTGAACTACATGAGACCAAAATTCGAGGTTATTTTGTTAAAATTGCAGCTTCTGAAGAGCTGAAGGGTGAAGGTAAGACTAACTTTTCGATCCTTGTCTCCAAACTCAATGCCCAGTGAGTCCATGGCTCGAAGGATGGCTGCCAAGCTCTGGATGGTGTTGCTGTAGACCACAGGCTTGTACTGCTTCACATCATCCCCAGAAAAGCCATCTTCATGGATAATCCTGCACAAGTACAGAGATATTAAAGAGGGAAAAGTCAGACTAGTCCGTATGCTAATGCACAGCTAAATAACTGCCTTTTCACAATAAAAGTTCTGCCTCTGTGTGTGCGCACGTGTGTGAGGTGGTTACTGTCTTATCATGCTCTCTCCCGTGTTCCTACCATCTCTGCCTTAAATCCATCTTTAAGTGTGTGTGTATAGTGTGTATAATGAGGCAGAAATTGATCACACACTCCGTCTGTGATCTGTAATTGGGCAGTAATGCGATATTTATAATTTATGATGGGAAATGGGGTGGAATCAGTCAGAGCACCAATCAATCACACAGTTAAACTCCTCCATAATCCGGGTAGCATTAAATCATCCATCAGGACATCCTCACCCCCTGGCTTGATCGATAAAATGTCAGGTGCATCCTCCTGAAAACTGACCCGCAATCCACTCCTTAAAGCGGGCACCCCATTCCCTCGCTTGTCATCAGCAATTGATATTTGATTTGGGGGGGTGGGGTGGTAAATATGGGATGACGGTTTTAATATATTCATCTCATTAGTGCACATTACGAAAAGATGTTTCACGACAGGGAGATCAGCCTCACGCCCTGAATCTCCACCACCATCATAAAAATTAACAGTCGTGTGAAATAAAACATTAACCCAGAGGGAAACAGGAGCAGAGGTGCCATCTAAAGCTGATAGGAATTATACCCGTCGATTAATCGCTC